TTCTCATTTGTATTACTTCTAAAAATAATTTGGCCATCATTCTTACCACTGTTCCTGTATAAATGTCTTTTTCTCTAGCTACAAGTAATTTGGTTATCAACAGGGTTTTGCTATTTTTATTTTCATTATCATTCAGGATATTTTAAATTTCCATTGTCACTTTTTCTGTGACCTATGGAGATGTTTAATTCCAAACTTTTACTTTCTAGTTTTGATACTGGTTTCTAATTTAATTCCACTGTGGTCATAGAATATATTGATATAAATCCTTTGAGAACTGTATGAATACAGTGTATGTGTAAATGTTCCATGTATAGTTGTTGGGTGTATTTTATAATCACCAATTATTTCAAATTAGTTGTGTTGTTCAGATATTCTGTATGTTTAATGCTATTTTTAGTTGAGTATTTAGTATGATTTTGAAACGATGTGGATCTATCCTTTCAGTCTATCTACATTTTTAGGCTATTAGATACACAGAAGACAATTATCTTAATGTTAAATTGGCCCTTTTATCATTATGAACTGTTCTTATGTATCTAACTGTAGTCTATTGTATTTTATATTAATATTGCCACATTGCATATGTTAATATTGGCATGTTATTTTCCATCTTATTTTCAACCTGTGGTCTTATTCTGAATACATCTTACAAAATGAATTTCATTTTAATCCAGTCTAATAATCTATAATTTGTGTGTAATCCATTTTTTAATTACTGATAGTTTAACTGGCCTGATGTATTTCATCTATTTTTAAAATTTATCAAGACCTTGTTTATATTCACAGGTCAAACAAGTTGTATTTCTCTTCAAGTACATGCCTTAGATCTGGATATGGAAAGCTTTATCAGAAACTTGAATTTAAACTTATTTCCAACACCATTAATTTGTGGAAAATATGAAAACATAACTACTACAAGTGAAATGTGCCAATCTTCTCTCAGCACCTGCACATATTAAGGTTTCTGTACTGCAGGTTCTGCAGCACTGGTAATGTACCTTGACTACTGATGTGGTCTTAATTTCTGGTAGAGAATAGACTAACCTCTTTGACCTTTCCTTCTTGGCGATTCTAATGCATTACCAATGACAGTTTTAAGTGTGATATAGGGCAATGCAATTTTCTAATTCCAATTAGACCATTTACAAAGGTGCAAATATGTCCTATTCTATCTATGATCACAGTCACTAGTATCAAATTAAAATTCTTAAACTCTAATAGCCACATTTTTCAAATTACAAGAATATGGATAACTTATTTTCTCCGGTCAGAATTCAGATGTGGAGAATTATTTAATTGTTGAAAAGGCAACATTCCCAGCAGTTTTGATGACAAAAGGTATGGATTACAGAGATGACACCAAGATGATTAATATAACAAAAGACTAATTCGTCAGACTTATGCTTCTATTTTGTATTTTTGATTTTCACCTCACTGCTGAGCAAAGAAATAACTCAAATTATACGCTTTCCACCTAACACCTAGTGTTATGTATTTAAGTCCAAGTAAATGTACAAATCACTTTTGGCAGTAAAATGTTATTTCACCGGTCTAATAAGCAATAGTATACTCTATGCTATTTTCTTGCACTAAAAGCTTTTAAAGCCTTATAACTATTTTTATTAGCATTTTAATATACATTGAACCATTCTGAACTCTATTATCTGCTCCTACATCACAAGCAATGCAAACTATTTAAAATTTGTTGTTTATTTTGCAAATAACACACATTTTATTTAGATTAAGGCTCACTCTAAAGGAACTCAATTTAGCAATTCATAGGAAAGCTGCTTAGGTTAATATTTTTGCAGTGGCATTAGGAATAATCAATAGTTGGCCAAAAGTATTACTTACAGCGTAATAATTTTTAATGCTTGTCCTTAGTGATATAAAAAGAATTCTAAGATTTCAAAATGTATCCCTGTGAGTTGTTTCCAATACTGTCTTGCTTACAATAAACATAGGTTGCTCACTTTAAAGCACTGAAGACAATGAACAATTTATTTACATGCAATTTCTAGATTCTATACTACACTGAAACATGGACAACTTCAAATTTTTTTCAACTTGTAAAGAAATGGCCTTATTAAACTTTAAAAAGTAAAACGTTTCTTTAGATTTACATTGATAACTGGTTTTCATGCTGGTTTATCTTGCAAAGATGTAACATCATAATAAAAACTCCAGCATTCAAAAAATGTTTTTCAGTAAAGAACAAGCATGTCTTTGCTATTAGTATTGGGGGTGGGGGGGGGGTGGGGACAGCTTATTGAAACCTCTTAAGTATCAGATATTAACTGCCTCTCTTGTCAAACACTGTGTGCTTGCTATGACAGGCTGTTCCAAGAACTAGGTCTACTAGGCAAAAACCAGGCCTACCAAGAAATTCACCTAATTTCTATGGCAACCAGAAGAACCAGAGATGGCATCCTAGTGTTGACTTGAGTCATGAAGGCAAGTGTAAAGTGGGCTGTGTGCAGGGCATTCCGGGCATAGGAAGCTTGTACAATGTAAATCGATCACAAGTAGTGGGCAGCGTATATAAGCTGTGTGCCCAAGCAAAGATTTGGGGTATGCGTAAGTGTGGGGAGTGAGGTGTTAATATTTAAAAAAAGAGACCTTTTATTAAATTTACTGGGGTAATATTGGTTGATAAAATCATATAGATTTCAATGATGACCTTTTTATGATATGTAAAAGGATTTTAGTTTAATCCGAAAGCCATGGGAAAACACTGAAAGAAATGACATGAAGAGAATTGCTTGTTAACAAGACCATTCTGATTGAGTGAAGAAAGGAACACTGCCTGGTTAAACAAATTAATCTAGTGAATACTATGGAAAATCTTGTATTGCCAGAACTAGAGGCCAGATGACCATTTAGGAGGTAAATGCAGTATCTTAGTCCATAAACCAAAGCAGTGGGAGTAGTAATAGAGCAGTGTGGTTTTGAGGGTTAAGAGGTAGAACTACCAATTTAGGTAAATCAGATTTGGTTTGGAGTGGGGAAGCAAAAGAGAAATCTAAGGATTCCCAAGTTACAGACAATGCTGCTTATCGATGTGAAATATAATACTCGTCATGGTCGACACTTTGGCGAGAATTTAGTTATGGTGAAACTGACGTTTTTTTAAAGGGAGACACAAAGTAGTTAGAAAAATGGATTTTAGCACTGTAGAAAGTAGTAGGAAATAAACATCTGAGGATTAGAATATATGAAGTATCTGAAGTCATGAGTAAGAGTTAAAAAACAGCCAATATTTGCTGCATACTTGTATGTGTCAGGCATAAAGAATACACCCAGGGTCATACAACAACCATGACCTAAAAATTCAGAACAGGCACTTCCACTCCAGGGGGAAAATAGATAGAAATCCAGTATCATTGCCAATTCTACAACTGGATCACACCCATTAAAGCAGACTTTACTTCATTCTAGTTGAAGGTATGAAGACTCTGTGATGACCCCACTGATAAGAGGCAATAGATGTTTCATTTTGGGGGTAGGTATAAAAGTCTCTGTTTGGAGTACAGCATTAAAGTCTTTTAATTTGTCACTGTTTTCAGTTTTCAATGTGGTAGTTTAATTCGGATAGAATTATGAAGTTCCTTCTTTTCCCAAGGTTTCCTACAGCCAGTTATTTTTGTCCCATAAAGACATGATCGAACCTTGAACCTTCACAAATCGGCATACCTTATTCATCTATAAACTTGTCTTGCAAGACTACTCAAGTCAATTTCCTTAAGTTTTACCTTTTTATTCAGGCAAGGTTGATTATTCTCATTTTATCAGTGACTTTGTACCATAAAATATTTTATACATGTGTTCCCCTACCAGACTGAACTCTTGGGAAAGTGATCATCTTACAAATTTTTAGCTTTAAATCCATGTCTTTTTATTTCCTTGAATTATGCTATACAGCTTTCCTCATAATCTTAGATATATTTTAGTTACAAACTATTTAGGAATTTACCTGGTTATTATGAATATTTTTGTTACTTTTTATGTTGCTAAATACAGACACTTGGGAACTGTTACTTATTACATGTTTATCTGTGTATAATGGTATAATACCTTGTACCCCATGTAAGCACCCATGTGCTTCAGTGTGGCTAGAAAAAAATCATAATATGTTTACTGGTCAGTGACTACAAACTTGGCTTAATGCTACTTGGATCCATCCCTCTTGATATTATAATTAACTGTCAAATCTTGCCACTTGCAACATGGATGGCCCTAGAGGGTATTGTGCTGAGTAGAGTTAGTAGGAGAGAGAAAGACAAATGCCAAATTATTTCACTTCCTTGTGGAATTTAAAGAACAAACAAAACAGAAACAAACATATAGACAATGTTTTGATCGTTACCGGATGGGAGGGGAGTTGAGGGGTAGGTTAAAAGGGGGAAGGGATTAAGAAGTAGAAATTGGTAGTTACAAAATAGTCATGGGAATATAAAGTACAGCATAAAGAATATAGCCAGCTAATAATATTGTAATAACAATGTATAGCGTCAGATGGGTACTAGATTTATTGGGGTGAACACTTCCTAAGTTATGTAAATGTCTAACCACTGTTGTACACCTAAAACTAATATAATATTGTATGCCGACTATAATTGAAAAATTAAAAATTATATATAAAAAGGATTCCAAATAGAAACTTAACAAAACTTAGCAGTTAGAAGGGATAGTTTTTGAGAGCTATAAAGTGACAGTTTTAAGAGTAATTCAAGAAGCACACTATGGAATATGAAATAAGGTATGTCATGTTCTGGTAAAAAGTATTAAACTAATTTGGGTACTCTACATTTTTTAAGAAGTCACAAAAATTTGGAGTACCCAAGGTTATAAGTGATCACACTTTGTAATGTTTTAAACCAAACACTCATATATAAAAATAAGATGGTGTATAAAAGGTAAATGAATATAAAGAGTTTAAAATACACAATGAAAAGTAACAAATAAGACTACGAATAGCTTAAAAAATGAATACTAAATCGGAGCTTAAAAATTCTAATTTATTTCTAACAAACATCACTTTATGCTTGACTCACAAGCTTTATTTACATTTGTCTACAGCATCATTTCCTTATGAAATGAACTAGTACAGCTTAGTTAAACCAAATGAAATCATAATCATCTGAATTGTCTGTAAACTACGATTAGCTAAATTTATAACCTTGCATTTGCTTAGTACAGCCAAAGTTTTAAATACAGAAAGCACAAGAATAAACCAACAACACGTAGAATCTAAAAAATCATCTGGGCAATTTAGAAGGTGGACTTACAAGAAGTCTGAGGCACAATTACAAGAGAGAAAAATTCTTGTGCAAACTACAGTAAACGTAGCAAAGAAAATTAAGATGTAAAAAACAAGAGGCATGTTCATTGTAAAATTATCATCAAAATATTTTTACATATTTTACTTTCATCTTTAGATCAATTCAAGAAGAAAATCACTCATTTTAAAATAAAAAAACAAATATAATTTTGTTTGGTATGTCTACAAAACACCTTAAAACATTTTAATTTTTAATTGCAGAAGACATTAAATGTTAAGGAAAAAAAAAACCATAACAAGAAAAAATGGGTATTGATCCCAAGAAAAAAATGTTCCTAAGCACAATTGTTGATTTCCCTTAATATACTTACCTTGCACTGTCACTGAAGATACTGTTAAGAGAAACCTTTCTGTTTTTAAACAAGATATAATAAAGCTCAACTGATGAGATTATTAATTTTGAAAAACAAAATTCTGAATGTATTTTAAGCCATAAATAATTGGAAGTGAATAGGGAACAATTATTTCTGCTCATGTCATGCAGAAATAAACATTCATTTGTTGCTCAGGAGATAATTTTATGCAGCATGTTTAAAGTTAAATATTTCATGGCAAATGTCTGCTTAAAGTCACAATGTCTCTTGGTTTTTCACCCAAAGAGAAATATAATTCAGAAGATTTCTTCAATTTATTCCTCATTAACTGTGATTTAGCTTTGTCTACCCTATCATGTGATAACTAGATTTTTAAAGAACATCACAAAAAAACTTTTTAAAATATTAAGATAAACATTTTGAAATAAGATGTTTTTCTCATCAGACAACCATATAAGCAAAGAAATGAACTGTTAAGTCATTCTTACTAAAAATTATGTCTCAGAAAGGGAGCAATGAATAACATCTTTCTCCTGCTACAATTCACAAGATTTTTCTGCATTAAATGTGGTGGTGCAAAAAGTAAAACTGAATAAAAGAAAGACAATGCTTCTAAGGCACCCTTAGCATAGGGAATTTCAAAATAAAGAAGTTTCCAGTTGGCCGTTTTACAACTTGTTTAATTTTTTCTGTTAAGCATCACTTTGATATACGTTAACAAACAGGTTGACTCCTGTTCTCAGATTAATATAAACAGATTGTTTCCAATTACTTTACCACAGTCTTGCCTCCATGCTCAAAATTCAGGCAAGCCTAGGTAATCCTGTCTTAGGTCAATAAACAGTTCATAGCTTGGAAATGAGAAAAACAAGAGTTCAAATTATGAAACAAAGTACTCTGTTACAGTTGAGATGGTTTTAAATGAAGCAAATGGTTGTAAATAATGATCAAAAGAGCATCTAACTTTGGGACATTATGGCTTAAAATACTATTTACCTTTAATTTCACAAATAAACACAGCTGTATTGTTCTGAAAAGCAATGAAAGGCATGCACCTCTACTAGCAGATTTAGCACTTTTGACGAAGTAAGACACCAACTTCTTTAAAAATATGCTTCATGCACTGGACTGGACTTTTTTTTTTTAAGATGTAAATTTTAATACATTATTTCTTTTTTGAACTTGAACGGGAACCAGAATGGGATGATCCAGAAGATGACCTGTCGTGCCTGTAAGACATAATGGAGAAAGCAAGTAGTCTAGTAAGCTAATGGTGGATATCAGCATTCATCCATAAGACTTTTTGAGAACATAAAGAATTAAACCTCATTATTTTACTGGCAAAAGAAATAATTAAAATTTAAGATACAAACTTATACACATAAAATTAACTAGTGTTTAGATCTTGGATGTGAGTCCAGCAACAGTATAATTTAAAAATCTCTATAATTAAAAATCTCTCATTTCAAGATATAGCCACCTCTCAATTATTTAAGGTAATGAGGAAAAGCCTTGCAAAAGTATATGAAATTACAGATAATATACAACAAAGGAATATAAACTTGGTAATGGAAGTGTGACTAAAACAATCTCTAATAACATTGTAGAGAGTGTGGTAAGTCTATATGTAAAACAGATAGAGCAAGGCTCCTGAGCATGAGAATATATATTCACAAATAACTACATTTTGGAAATCTAGGTCTCACAAGACAACTGCACAATTAATTATAGGGTTATATTCATGCAGCTAATATGAATAAGTCAATATATCAACCTGGGTAAAGTAGTGGTGTTCCGAGGGGTTGGCCCTGGGCTCAGGGTTGTTTAGTGTTTTCACCAATCACCTGGCTTATGGAATAGAGAACATGTTCGTTAAGTTTAGATGACAACAAGCTAAGTGGATTATATGTGGCTAAGATAAAAATTTGCAGAAGTGGTAAGAAAGCAACAGAATGAATTTCATTCACATATGGAATAATTTTCTTACAAAAACCCAAATGCAGAGAAACAAGACTAAAGTGAGTGTAACCTTAATATCTAAACTTTAAAATGTGCAAAGAAGCAAAACTAATCATTCTGTCAAGCAGGAATCATGAGGTAATCCTACCACGGAACTTGGAAATAATCAAACTTTACCTAATCTTTACTTTCACAAGCTGAAAGGATTAAGGAAAATTTGCGGACATTACAAAAGAATCCATTAAACTGACTATATACACATTGAGAATCAAGACAAAGTTAATGAAACTAAATAATTAATTAGCCTGTTGTACAAAAGGCTGACAGATGACACGCTCTACAAATTTAAAAATGTCAATACAGATAACAATCTAGTAAAAGTCTTTCTCAGAAAGAAAGAGATTTGTACTGCAAGATGAAAAATGGATTAGCTACAAGAACAATTTCCTTATAAAAGGAAATAAAATAATGTGCTGTGAAAATGCATTTACACACATTTGAAGGACAGATTTCCAATGATCTAGAATATTTATTAGATGCCCTAAAATCCTATGATTTCTAATATTTAATAGCATAATTAATACATATAAAACTCAACTTCTAAAATACTTCAACATACTGCTTCAGAATTATTAAAAAAAAACAGAAATAACCGAGAGTTGGCTATAAATATATATAATAATAAATAATAAAATGAACAGGCAGTGGAAGAAAATAGTTTGATCTACGACTTTTCTAAGCAACCTTGATCAAAGCACACAGGATAAACAAAGTCATTAATGTTTTTTGAACTGCGAAGTGGAAAAGTGTAATTTAAAATTGCAATAAAGGAGATTATGAAAATTTAATCCTTGACTAGGAAGTTTAATCCATTAAACACTTAAGAACACCCATTCTTATTTCTACAGAAACCCAAACCTTTCGGGTGACCGTGATCTTGTTCGTCTTTTTTTTCGATCACCGGATGAAGAAGATCTAGAACGACTTCTCTTTCTGTTCCTCTCAGGAGAAGATGATGAACTTGAATAAGATCTTTTTCGTGGGGAAGAAGAGCCCCTGTGGGATCTGGAGCTGGATCTTCATTGATTGAGAAACAAATCAAACATTTCATTAAAAGAAGAAATGAAGCAGATCATTTAGTTAACAGCTCCAAACAAACAAACAAACAAAAAACAGGATTTATAACTGAAAATTTTATAAGAAGAAATACTTACTGCTTACTCAATAGAAGACTTCTGGTTCAACCATGAAAACAATTCTATTTTAATATTTACTTTAATATCATCTCTTTTTAAAAATCTAAGATGTGTTCATCACTTAAAAAAAGCTTAATACATTAAAGTAGAATTTTAAATTTTTTTAAAACATATGACTTTCGTTTTAAAGTATACATAAATAGCAAAACCAAACATAACTGCATTTACATGCTTTTATGTTTAGAAAATACAACTTTCCATTTGTAAAAGAAATATGTATCATATATAACTTCCGAAGAAAAACAAACATAACAATTGCTTGTGGAATTAAAAAACTTATTAAGTTGCTACAGAAAAAGCAGGGATATGGGGACAGGAATGAGAAAGAACAGTAATTACTAAACTGCTAAATATTAAAAAAATAAAAAGTAACTTTAAAATTTGATTTATATTAACTATTTTTATGAAGGACCACTATTCATGAAGTATGAAGTGTTGACATTCACATGTTTTAGGTAGAGGTAAATGTGCAAATGTTTAAATGCAAATTTTTTTCTTCATTTACATATTTTGGTTGAAGTAATTTAGCTCAAACTTCCCAAAAAATTCACCTTTGGGCTTAAAATAAACTCAGAAAGCCCAAAAGGAGAATTCTTTGGAAAGTTATAAGCAATGAAAATATGTTTGGAAAGATTATGAAGATTGTTCTGTAAAGCTTAATTCTAATGCTTCCCAAAGGGTACTAGGACTTAGGAATCTTCACCTAAGAAGCACTCAAAGGACTAAAACATTGGTAACACAACATCAACATCATCATCATCATCATCATCATCATCATCATCATCACCACCACCACCATCATCAGCACCATCATCATCACCATCATCAGCACCATCATCACCACTACCACAATAAATTCATTTGCTCTCTATTTTGTATTGGCTTAATACTAGTGTGCATATCATTCTTTTCTTAATGTTGTTACACTGAAGTTGCTCTCTAATGCTACAGATTTGGCCCTAATAAGCTAATAATTATTTTTTACCAAAAAAAGCTACCACTTAACTTCAGTGTAAAGTTTCACACAAGTGGAATTGTAGTCGTTTTTCTTATTCATGGTTAGATGCCTTCAATAGATTGATAAATTAACATAAAAAGGCAACATATTTTGACAGTTTAGAAAAAAAGCAGTGTCTCATATGCTGTTTTTCTAATTCTTTTTCTCTGCATTTTTGACTAAATGTAACCTGAAGTTAACAGTAAATGTAACCTGAAGTTAACCTTAAGACAGACCACATTCTCTAAATGTAACCTGAAGTTAACCTTAAGTAAGACCACATTCTCCTTTGACTAATCAATCACCTTTCTTGATTTAGTTTGTGGAATTTGTCTGTTCTATACATACTGTTTATAATATCCTAATACTAAAGAGAAATGGTAATATGTATAAGTCCCTATAGAAACTTTATCTGCTATAAATTGTTTCTGTAAATACTGCAACAATTGCCTTGCAAAACAAAGTCTGTTTTGAGACAAGGTCATTTTTCCTGCTTTTAAAAATGGCAGTAAACATTTTGTTATTTACAAACCTCTAATTAAACTACTGCTGCAAACATTAACATATGAGAGATTTGGTGATAAGAACTGGCTCCATCTTCCTACTTCATCGTATTTAGTCACAAAAATAACAAACCTTGCACAATGCAAAATATCCGCCTTAATTCAATCATGGGAATGTCTTGGCACATTGCTGGCAATGAAAACATCTCATGGTGAGAAAATTAAGCTGAGGCAAGAGCATTAGTTTTCTAATGCTAAAATAAAATCGACAAATAGAAGCAAAATAAGAGGGAAAAAAAGCAGCAACACCTCCTGCAGCCTTTAAATATATTTTTCTCTCTGCTATACAGAGAGATGCTACCTCATTCACCTTGATTTCGACCCACGAGATCTCGAACGTTCTCTGGAACTGGAACGAGATCTTGACTGCGAACTGGAAGAACTTCTTGAACGGGACCTGGAACAACATGGAAGGATTTTTTTTTCCCCAGGACCACTTAATTGAGCTTTGTGATATGAACACTGAAAGAAAGATACTCATTAGAACTCATTTTCATATAAAAAGAACTATTTGAGATATTTTCAAAACACAGTATTTTAAATAAACTTTGTAGTTTTTATATTTATGCCAAAACTTAAGGTAATAGATAATTTTTGAAAATAATCAACTAGCACTTTCCAAGTTTGACAAAATTACTCTAAATGTCACTTAAGATTGCATATAAAAATTCAGCATTACTCTAAATGTCACTTAAGATTGCATATAAAAATTGCAAATAAAAATTCAGCATTACCACTTTATTAACACTACCTTATGTTCACAAATAATATTTAAAAGTAATCTAGGACTTACATATCCAAAAATTTTAAATGTTGCAGTTTATATTAACTTCTCTGAAATATCTCTATCAACGTCTCTTATAAAATTCCTTTATTTCCTCAGTCACTAGCTAGAATATGAAGCTTCTAATGTTGACATGTATAAACCTGTTTATCTACTCAAAGATTAGAGAATTAAAGGGAAAATACATTAACAACCCTGTCATTGTTTTAGGTAATTATATTACTGAAAAATAACACAACCAGAAATATGGTCCATTTAAATTTCAAAAATCACAAATGAAATAAAATTCATTATCTTACACCTTTAATTTATCCCTTAATATAACCTGCAGCAAAAGATGACTGCATTTTAATCTTAAAATTACTATCTTTATAATTACTCTTTTTAGCTTTCAGTCTTTATGGTACTCAATTAACAATTAACTAATTCTTAAATACTTAATTAGCTAATATTTTTTCCTAAATACAATTAAAATGCATTGCCCACTGTTTCAGTTAACTGTGAAGAATTCTTCAATGAAACATTGTTTACATAAGGTACTACTTTTCTCACCTAAAATTTAATTCTTATTGATTACACACAAGAGAATATTAAAAGTCTGCATTCCTCCTAAAATAATATCCACGTATACTACCAACTGAATCCTCTAATTTATCCCTGTACATTTCAAAATTATGAGCATTAGGTCGACAGAACTTAAATAGATGAATTTTCTCCTTTATTCAAAATACCGATACCAAAGTAAGTTATCAAAGCTTTGTGTAACAATAATTTAACTCCTAGAAAATTTTTATGCTAGCCTTTAATAGTCAAAACATAAATGTTTCCCTTTAAAAATTTCTGAATGTAACATTTAGGTAATGTTCGTATATGTAATGATTTAACTTTTCAAAGTCTATTTTAATAAAAGGCCTGGTGGTAGTTTCATAAAAAGATTGCAATTTTGAAAATAATGGACAATAACTTCATGGCACTAAAAAATTATTTTCTAAAAAGTGACTTGAACAAACTCTCTAGAAGAAAAAGGAAATCTTTTCAGTCAAGAAAAACAAAATTTATAAATAAAGAAGTTAGATACTGACATTTTGACTGGTGTTACCCTTGACCTGTACCCGTTTACCTGGACCTAGACCTTGAACTTGAGGGGGAGGATGAGCGAGATGAAGATCGTGAATGTGAAGATCGAGACTTTGAACGACTTCGTCTATTAGATTTCTTTTTATTACTATCTTCTTCTTCACTGGCATCAAGGTTATATTTTGAGAGATCGGCATCATCTTCATCCTCATCCTAAAAAAATTCAGAGTTAATTATACTTGACATTTAGATATTAATGCCCTCTAATGATGAACAGTTCTATGTATTGGACAGGTCCATGTGGATATTTTAGCGAATTTATTCTGAAATCTGCCTATTACATTCCTTGTCTCAGAAAAACAGATTTGATGACTGTCTCAAATATTTCAAAGTAAACCTGCATGTTGCACTTATTTCCTCTTTTTCTGTTACAATGTATTACACCAAATATGCTGTCAAGAACTTTCAATTTTACTCCCATAAAAGTCCTTGACTCCATTTCCCTTAGTGTGTCATTCTTTCTCTACTATATTAGTTATCTTTTAGGTGGTCCCCCTAACTCAGGAAATCCACTGTGCCTCCCCAATTATTCAATGTTCAAGTTGGCCCTTGAAGATAGGAGGTAGGGGCACTGATGCCCTTAACAGCTGAAAATCCACACATAACTTTTGATTCCCCCAAAACATAACCAATAATAATCTAATGTTGATCAAAAACAGTCAATTAACACATATATTATGTGTTGTACTCTTATAATAAAGTAAGCTAGAGAAAAGAAAACATAAAGAAAATATATTTACAGTATTTACTGGGGGAAAAAAAAAAACAAATATAAGCGGACCTGTGTAGTTCAAACCTGTGTTGTTCAAGGGTCAACTGTGTATCAACAGTCATCACTCTGAAATACAAGTCAGATAACTATATTTTGTTTCTTAAAAACTTTAAAATTTGTTCCCCATTTCTTTAGTTGTATTTGGGAGATTTATGATCACGGACGCTCCAAGGTGCCTGGATCTACACATCCAAATTTTACACTCAGACCCACAGAACAAATACCACCAGACCTGATGTCATCGCTGGCCCTTTCATCACTCATTCTACCCTCTGCTCTAACCACACTGGCCTATGTATCATTTTTTTTGAATGTTGCCAACTTGACTCCTACTTAGGAAATTTATTTGCTGTTTTAAGTTCCATTAAAAGAAGAATGTCTCATTAATCTCCAGAGCTAGAATAGCGCTTGGCAGAGTGGAAGCTCAAAACTTTTGTGAGAAGAAATGAGTACATAGCAGAACATATTTTCACCATAAACCAAAGGTGCTCAAAAATATTCTGTTATGCCACAGTGGAAATAGACAAAGGGGAAATAAATAGAATAAGGAAATAATTTACCTCATCTAATTTATATTTAGAAAGATCTTCATCCTCATCCTCTTCTTCTCCCTCAGATTCTTTATCTTCAACTTCTTTTAAAATAGATGCTGGACCAACTGCCTTCCCTCTGTATTTTTTCTTTTTACGTCCAAACTAGAGAAAAAGATTTCATAATATTTCTAGCAACTGAAAATATATTAAAATTAACATTTTTCTAAAAAATTATTTTTGCATTTGAATCAATATATATTTTAAGTCCATTATAACAATTATATAAAGTCAATTATGATTTCCTACAAATGGCAAGTTTTTGGAAAAGACTCAAAGTGCACTTATAAAAATAAGATATATTTAATAGTTTTCCTTTGAACTTGGTATTTTCTAACATGCTTTTCTAATTTGTATTCACCCTATACACTAATGTATAGCTTACCTCATCATATTCACCATCAGATTCTTCTCTTTCTATATATTCAACATTTTCTCTTTCATTAAAGCCACCACCATATCCTAAAAAAGGGAGGGCATAAACTGTTATCCTGTGACAATTCATTAAAATAAATCTCAAAATCGTCTCCAAGCAATAGAGAGAGAAAATGGCTTTAAGAATGGTCTTCAAGGGACTCTTACTGGTCAACTATGAGAACTGGAGCATCGAAAGAATGACAGAGATTGCTGTCACAAAACATTTAGTCAGTAGATCTTATGTTCATGATGTTGCCACAAAAGGATAACTAATATAAAAGGAAAGCAATAACTGTCAGTGAGAGGCAATGCCTCTTCATCTCTGCTGACACTGAATATGAATCAAGATCATGGAAGTCCTGATGTTTGAAAACCTGTGATAAAATGTAAGGTATATTCTTCCTGGATGATGATGTAACCATAATTGTTTAAGGACTATGCCACAGCCGGAATCGAGTTTTCTCACACAGATAAGAGTATTAATAGCTATGTACCCAACTCTGGGGCCCAGGGAAACCTCTCCCTTGTTCTATCCCTCCATCCTCTATGGTCAACTTTACTCATGAGACATTGTATCACTGGTTAATTAAAATATACTCAATCTAAAATAAAAACAAAAATAACAGGAATGACCCTCAAATCCAAAAAATAATAGCTAAGTAAATTACTTAACAACTATTTGAGAAGTGAGCAATCTTTTAGAAGTAGTACATCAAGTTTTCTTTTATTCATAGCTGGTCCCATGCTTTGGAAATGCTCCCCTGAACTTTGGACTTCCTTATTATGAGTGGTAAAGAGACACTGGAAAGCAACATAGTAAGTTAGTTCACACCTTCAACTTAACCAGCAAAGCCAACTTCTTGGGAATTGAAAAGGGGTCAAGACACCGAGTAAAAAAAAATAATGACTAAAGGTAGTGAAGACTTAAGACTATAGCTCTCCTAAGATAGTGAAACTTTAAAGAAAGAGTCACAAAAATAGGTCAGAGAATATGAAGAGTTTAAAGCCTTTGGGGGATTATAATTTTTTAAAACTGTCAAAGTCTGGACTTAACCCTAAAAGTAGCAATAATAGTTTTAAACAAAGTTTTTAGTTAAAAAAAAACAAAAAACAGAAAAAAACCTTTAGCGGTGACTGGGCAGGAGTAAAATGTGTACTGATACCAAGTAAGTGGCTATTTTTCAAAGACAAGATATATGGTATCTCTGCCTAGGGTAGCTGTGGAAAAGTCTTTCCAGGGTATAGGACAAATGAAATTATGAAGGACATCTAGGTTTCTGGCTTATGTAATAAGCGCTTATGTTGTAGGTGGTACTAATCATGAAAAGAGAGATGACTACAACAGGGCCAGGTACTGGGGGAAAATCATTAATTTAGTTTGAATATGAGTCTGACATTTACATGGCAATGATAAATAGGCAGCTGGAAATATGGGTTGAAGAAGTCTGAGCCGAAGACATGAATTTGGGCACCACAGTGTGCTAATGTTTACTTAAACTTAGGGTTCATAAGATGCCTAGAACATACAGAGCAAAGAGAGAGCGTAGGGATTCAATCTTGAAGAACTTCAACATTCTGTGGCCAGGTAGAGCGCAGAAGAGGAGAAAACTAAAAATGAGACAATAAACAACCAGAAGTGGTGGAATAAAAAAAAGATTTAAAAAAAAAAAGGGGAAAAATATATCTTAAAGAGGTTAAAGGAGGAAAAAAAAGAGATATCCTTATTAGAAAGCTTTACCCAATCAGTACAAAGGAAGATCATTTCCTGAGAATGAGAAGAGCAGGGTAGGATTTGAGGACTAAAAAAAAAAAAATCCTGGACATTAGACTAGGACAACAGTCTCACATAGGAATTACAAATTTAAAAAAAGCGGGTGGGGTGGGGTAGGGATTAAACTAGCATTTTGTTGCATTTCTGGAAGGGCTAGGTCCAAGATTCTTTAGTGAGTCTCTTATCTCCAGAGACTAAATAGACAGTGGAAGTGGTCTAAAGTCAGGGATGAAGAAAAAACAGGGAAGTAGTTTACTAAGTCTGTCTAACAAGGTGACTATAGGAAAAAAAAACAAAAAAAACAAAAAACTTTGATTGTGTGCTATGAGTCTTTGCACGATAAAACCAGATTTGAAGTATACTGGTAATGTGATTGGACTAATTGCTGATAAATGGAAAACCATACTCTATTAGGTATATATCTTCATCTCCCCACTGATAACACAGAAGCAATGGTAAGCTATTATTTCGGTTAATGGTTACCAAACTCCATGTGAATCACCTGCAGATTTTCGGGACCCACCCCCAAAGAGGTTTGATAGCTGTTTTGAAATCTGTATTTTAAAAAAGTTTCTCAAATGACTTTAAATAGAAAAGTGGTATTGCTCTATCATCTAATAATAAATATCTAGGCCAGTGAGGGGAAAGGGAGGAGAATAAAGCATTTTGAAAAGCATCCTAATATCACTATTTCTTAGGATAGGGCTCCCTAATACTGTACTTTATAAATTATAAAACAAAAGATAACTTTTTGAGCATGAGGAGTAAAATGAAAGTCAAAAACATAAAGGCAGAATAAAGAGAATCCTAATCAGTGGGTTCTTACAAGGTGGTGATACTGTCAATTCAATTTTTAGTTTTTTAAAAATCGTTTAGTTAGAATGTGTTTTTATCTTACCTGTTCTTTCTTCTAACTTAGCATACTTTGGAGTATTACACATGTTACATTCTGATCTTCTGGCCCAATTCACATTACTGCAACTTTAGAAATTAAAAATATCAAATTAGAAGTTAATTACAAGAAAAACTGTAAATTCTTAGACATTCTAAATTTTAAAATAAAAACTAGGATGAAATTGTTACCATAAAAAAATGTTTACTAAGTCTATTGCAAACAAAGAAAATATACTATTGCACATTTTCTGGAGAGAATGTGGGTTCCAACAGACTGAACTATTTAACCAAGAAGTAAAAGCTATATAGTATGAAAAGTGCCTTTGTTATTTTATGAGGGAAAAATTATATCTATAGGGATTCTGATGCTTTAGAAGATTACTATTTTAAACTAAAGATTCTACTAATTTCTCAATCTCTGATTTCAACTCAAAGAAGAATAAGATTGTACCGTCCAAACAATGTTAACTCTTTTCTAAGAAACCAGTTCAAGCGCTGAATTCCACAGCACGCCAAAACCGGTCTTAAAATGCTGGTAGGAAATTCAATATAATATCTAAAGGATCAGAAATTTGTGTGTCTACGGCCATACTACCCTCAACACACCCAATTTCATCTGATCTCGGAAGCTAAGCAGGGTTGGTCCAGGTTAGTACTTGGATAAGAGACCACCTAGGAAGACCGGGTGCTGTAGGCGTTAAAAAAAAAAAAGATATTTATGTAAGACCTTCTTCTGATTAAATCCTCTTTCACATATATTTGATCTATCTGCACAAGAGAAAAAATGGAAGTCGGACAAATCAATGCAAAACCTAAAAATCAAAAATATTAAGGAACTTATCTAAGTAGGAATAATTATGGCATGCATGATTCTAAAATTACTTTGTAAACAGGAAATATAAATTTTATGGTGTATTTCACATTAATGGAGACAAAGTTTTTGAGATTTTTCAGTAATAGAAAGAGGCAGGCTTTGGTGCTTTTAAAAACCTCTTCATTCTTTTTTGGAAACGTCAGCTCACTTTAAGCATTTGTTTACTGGTCAACATACTCCCTCATAGTAACAACTATATTTGTTTACTAGTATACATATTCCCTCATAGTAACAACTATATTACTGTTAAAAAATTAAATTGAAAAGTTCTTTAAAATTATATATCGGATACAGAATAGCAATCAATAGATCTCTGATTTAAAGGTTACCTTGGCTTGTCAATGTGAGTAATAACAGTTGGTAATATTAACAAGTAGTGGTTATAGTATTATGGAAGAGTGGATAATTTGAAACACATACGTTTTACACTGCCAATCATTAGCACTAAACAGGCCTCGGCTCTTTTCTGCAAGTGTCTTTCCTATTTCGGTGCCCCCTGCTTTCATCATCTTAGCCTCAGTTGTTTTCTCTGGGAAAAAAATGCAACATGAATTTTGGGAAATAGTGAAACAATCTGTATATACAGTCTGAACAGAAGCTTCCTTAAATGCTTACCCCGACCACATCTATTACAGCTGGTTCTTCTAGCAAAGTTTACATTTCCACATCTGAAAGTAAAAGTAAAAAATATTTAGAGACATTTTTAAAATTAATATTGTTTTTAAAATTCTATATGTACAACTTTTTAATGAGTTCTCCCTCACTATATACCTGGAGCCAGGAGGTCTAAAGCCATCTCAGTCACGTTAATGTCAATATGAACTATAAAAAAAAAAAAATCTTTACAACTTAGGTGGAAAAATATAAGATCTGAAGTCTCAAGTCTAGGATAAGAAACTCCAATCTTTAACTTTCTAGTTATATGTGATCCTGGTAAGTTGCTTAGGAGCTCTGTGCCTAAGTGTCCTCTTATTAGCACATTATCACTGATTGTAGTAATGCACCGCATGATGATGTTTTGGTCAACGACGGACAGCATATATGACAGTTGTCGCATAAGATGACAATAGAGCTGAAAAATACCTATCGCCTACTGACTTTGTAGTGTAATGCATTACTCACATCTGTGGTGATGCTGGTATAAACCAACCTAGCATGTTGCCAGTTGTTTAAAAGTATACAGCAAGTACAGTTATATATACTGTACAGTACATATTTGATAATAAATGACCATGTTACTAGTTGACTTAATCTCCTGGTGTTTTGTGCAATAACATGTTATATAGATTTGTAGCCGAAGAGCAACAGGCTATACCATAGGTGTAGTAGCCTAAGTGTATAGTAGGCTATACCATCTAGGCTTGTGTAAGTGCATCCTATGTTTGCACAATGACAAAATAGCCTAATGACACATTTCTCAGAATGTTTTGCTGTCCTTAAGCGGCGTATGATTGTAAAGAAAATGAAATCCCCTTGCAAAGCTGAAGTGATAGCCGACCCCAGTTCAACAATTACTGATGAGGAACCGGGGAGATCCAAAAAAACTTCAAAATAACTCCTAGGATATAAAATAAGAAGATATACACACAAATGTGTTACGCATTATGAGAAATACAAAATCCTAAGGGTGGACCAATGTGGAGAAAATGAATACATCACAGAAGGCTTCATGTACCCTGACAGAACACCCTTTTTACAAGTAGGAAGTGGCATGATAAGGAAAAAAAGATAAGTTATATTGACTAAAAATGTAAATAGGTTCAATAATTATAAGGAAACTAAGTTTTTTGGGGGGTTACCAAACCTCTGAAACCTAGTTGGGAAAAAACAAAAACAAAAAACACACTAATAACCTCAAAACATGGAATAACATGCTTATATTCAGCAAACATAAAAACAAAAAGTTATCAGGTTTACTAACATGGTCTGAATAGTGCCATGTGCAATATCAGTAAAAGCATGTTAAATACTCTGAATGATATGCAAAGCTTAATTTTTAAAAAATGTCTACTTTTTTTTAGGTAGATGTGAAATATGGAATGACCACTAAAGCACTCCAAATAATTTAAGTTTTTTTCTTCCTGCAAAGAATATCCTTTCTGACACTGAAAATACATTCTAAAAATGTTTTCTGGATTTATACAGATTGCAGAAATAATATTCTATACACATATTTGCAAGTGAGCTGAAATGCATTCTTAGACTGTCCTCAAATATTTGCTTATGTTGTCATTAATGAGGCTGTCAAAAGCACATTATTCTATGAATGACCAACAAAAGTCAGAAGTTGTTCAATCCTTTTGTTTTCAAAGAGTCTTACCACCTAGAGCAATGCCATTCATAGCATTATCACTTTTGTTCTGCTCAATATTGTTAGATAGACTTGAAATCCTTCAGGTCATCTTAATCTTTATGCAATTGAGAACTATCAACTTATGACAGGAAAAAAAAGCACTGCTTAAAATATGGATAGAAAACAAATACTGGGGAAATAAGAACTCAATTTCCTTTAGTGACAATTTGGTGACTTAACTTTCTAAAATTACTATCGATAGCTATCAATGACCACCTGCTATTCATCATTGCTATACACACACTATTCTGTTTCATGTATTTATTTTAAAGAATCCATTCTACCCTAGTTTAGCAAAGTTAAATAACCTCTGTATGGTTACATGGTCAACAAACAAGAGGACTGGCATTAAATCCAGGCTTGTTTGCTTCAGTTTTTCCTTTTAACTACCATAAACTCTATATATCTGTGGCTAATTTAGGTACAAGAAATTAAAGGTTTTTATTTGAAAATGAGTTGGGCATTGAATATTTTTGACAATTACTTTCAATAGTAACTTCCAGATATTTCCAAATAGGTACACCTATTTGAGCACCCTTCAATAAAAACTTACTAACCATTTAATAGGGCACACTGGCTTCAGCTACAACGTCAAAAAAAGCAGAGCCACTAAAACATGTGTTCTCTGCGGCAGGTATTCTCAAGGGCTGAGCTGATAAAAAGGCCTCAGGCCGTTTGGCTCTAACGAGGGGAAAGGTTCAACTCCTGTGGGGAAATTAAAGGTCAATAAAAGAAAAATCAATATTTCCCAAACCAAAGAAGAGTAGTGTTTGTGAAAAATATAAACACTACGAAGAAAAGTCTGAATTAAAAAACAAAGGAGGTGAACGATGAGAAGAAAAATGACTAGTTCAAAAAAGCAACGCTTTCCTGGAACAAGATAAAGTTCTGCAGGGAAAAGTCACGTGGAGGAGATCGAATACCAAGCTGGCCTCAACTAAGATTTCCTTA